AACTGTCGACCGGAAGAAGTGTTCTTACCAGGGAGCGTAGAACTCGACAAGAGCTCCTCTGTCTTGACCGACCTCCTTCTCGAAGTTGTCCTCCGTCAGCACAACCACGTCGTCTGCTACGGCCGACACGAACAGCAACACCAAGAGACCGAAACCTAAATAGATCTGAGATCTCGCCATTTTCTCTCTCCCTCCGAGGTTTGATCGAAGAAGAACTTTAATCTTTGCTATTAATAAATAAATGTTACTTCCCTGAATTTGGTGGGATATTTCGCTTCCACCGAAAGAAAAGAAAAGAGACGATGACGTGGCACGATCGCACTCGTCCAATTAGTTGCCGATGAACACGACGGAGATCCGAAGTCCATTTTACGTGGCCGTCTGACGTGGCGTAACGTGAATGGCAGGGCCTCAACAACGTTAGACCGATTGCCCGCTGAGGTCCTGAGGAAAAGTCAAATCTGAAATACGAATCTCGGCCTTGAATTTCTTTAAAGTTTCGTTTTAGCCCCGTAATTTAAAAAAGAGTCAACCGCACTAAACAGAATTCTTGTGATCAGAACCACAAACATTTAACTACGTCGGCCATAGGGCTCGTGAACTGCACTGTCCTGTCCTTGAGGTAAAGGGGCAAAACCCAAAGACTTAGTCCTTGCGGGACAATGGGTGGTTCTCGAGATGCAATAGAGAGTGAAGCAACATTCCCAAGTCCTCCACGAGAATAGTGTTCATCCACATTTGCCTCCTCATATTTTCCACACAGCTACTGATTCTCAGACCCATTTGATCCTGAGAAGAATCCACGTCTGTTATCGTAGGATTAGCGCATTGTTGTAGCTCAGCCGACCACTGCAAGTCATCAATTCTTGTCTCGTTTAACCTGCAAAGTAAACATAGTTGATAGTTCATGCATCATCTATGAACAAGGGCTTGAAGCAATCAACCAGATAGAAGTCTCGCAGAAGAGAAAAAGCTTCGTCTTCTTCCGGGTTTTACTTACTTTTCAAGTATCCGGTCTGCTTCCTTAGAGTTTCTCACCCGAAACAAGGCCTTGACAGTGTCCTGGTCAATCCTCGCAAGACCCTCAAGAGAACCAAGTGACGTGCACGTTGAGTGTATTTTAGAATCAGCTGTTTCCGATTTCAGATTGCTAATTCTGACACTAACAATTGATGACGGAGCTTCCACAACTGTGCTTGAGCTCGAATTCTTGGTGGTAGTCTCATTCTTTTTCTCAGATTTAGACCTGGAACCGCCGTTACTCTTAGCTTTGACTTTCTGTTTTGTAGTTGGAGATGACTTGCTCGCCTTAGAAGTTGAACCCTTCAAATTCGTAACCTTTGTTGCCGCTGAAGATGAGCACGGTAATCCTTTTTTCTTTCCTTTAGCTTCCTGATAAAACGTAAACCTAGCAGGTTTAAGAACATTATAATCTTATGGAACCGGCCACTGCCACCAAAGACATACATAGAGTTATGATCCCATGACATGCATAGTATATATTGACCAGTCTGATCATAAGAACCAATAATTGTAGGTTTCTCTAACAAAGAATTTCCTTTCAAACTATTGGAATATGTGGAGGACAATATCTGGCTGAAGATGATGAGCGTACCCGGAATTGATCTGGCTTCTCAGTAAGCAACTTTGGAATCACAAAACTTTCCTTCTTCACACAACCCAACTCTGACCAATCATCGTCTTCAAGATGACTACATGACTCCTTCTGAAGACCCTCAGCCCCACCTGAAATCGACCAAGCCGAGGGAGCATCAAAGAAACAGGCCGAAAGGCTCTGACCACACCACAAAAATGCTGTCTTTCAATCATCAATGTCAATGTCCGCACCTGTATTTTCTTCCTTGGGTTCATCCAATTTCGATATATCATCTTGTACAAAAGTATATAATGGATGATTCAAGGATTTAATCCCTCTTGATCCGAAGCGGAAAATTCCGCCTCCAACAAATCTGCTCGCAGATTGAGAGCTGATAGATGCCGGCTCTCTGGCATTGAATCTGTCAGCAACAGCAAGATTCATTTCTATTTCGATAGATAACGTACCAAAAAATACTCCAAAACTCGCAGCAAGTTACTAGACAAACAGTAAATTAACTTTTGTTGAATGGAGCAGAAACGGAAGAGCAATAAAATATTATTCAAAACCCAGAACACATGATCTCGACGAAAGAAACAAGAAGAAGTTCAAACAATATTCAAACCCAATAAGAGTCACAGAACATTGGCGAAGTTACGCATCGTTAAACCCTACACATCACGTGGGAGGGAGGGAAGAGAGCTAACCGATCGAGTAAATTCTTCGAAATCGCCGGAAATCCGCCATTTTGACCTGGGAAATGTCGAACAACAATCAGAGATTTTCCTGTAGCGATAACTTCTCCGTGCAACAGTTCCTCGAATCCAAAATTTCACGGGAAGAATCGAAGAACACAAAGACCAATGAAACAAAAAAACAGTCGCCGTGAACAGAAGTTGAATGTACCGTAGAACAAGGAGATGCGAGAAGCGCGTAATCTCAACGCGAACATCGTCCCCGCTCCGCTCCGCCACGAAGAGAAGAGGGAGGTAGAACAACCGCGAAAACAGTAACGCAGAGAGAACCCTACGAACGACGCCGTACCATCCCTCCTCCGCCCATAAATAAATTAGGGCCTGTCGTTTGGGCCAAACTGGGCTTATTTAAAGAGGTGGTAAAATTATTGTAACGTATTAAATAAATTGTTAATTTTATTTGCCGCAGGCTAATGGGCCTATATTTGGTTTCGAAAGCCATTCTAGTACGTGGGCCTTTTGGTAACAATGCTTTAGGCCCATCTATGTCCATTGTTTCTGTGTTTTGGGCCTATATCTATTAATTGAAGTCACTATTTCCACGTCTTTGGTTATATTATATATTTATTTATAGTCTTATTTTAAGACCTTGCTCATGTACTGTGGGGTCTTTCGCCACGTGAAGTGTGTACGAACTACGTAAATACACCCATGATGATCATTGGTTCAACAATATTATTCGGATTCGAACCTTAAGTTTGGGGAACTTATATTTCAAATGAACTGACTAATTTTTGGGATATCGATTCTGAGATTAATTTGGGTTTTGGCGCAAGATACCCGATTACCAAAAAGAATATATTGTTCGAGATATGTCCCGTTCTCGATTAAACTATTTCAGTATCAAAATAAATATTTGAAAATTTGTGACATAGATATAAAGGATCATTGGATCAACAAGACAGTACTAGCGCGCATATATATATATAAATGTCGCAAATCCTTTATGCAAACAAACTTTTCACGGATATAGGACATCTATAGAAGTTGATAATAATTTGTGAAGCATACCAAAATTTTTAATAAGCGAATGTGTCTGAAATCAGAATCGGATGATTAAAAAAAAAATCGTAAATTCCAAATCAATTGGATTTGAATCCACGTAATAATAATAATAATAACCATAAAAATAATAAAAGAATATTCAAAAGTATCACATGGGGGATCCAAAGACTCCGGAACCATATCATCCAAAATTTAATGTGACGATAACGACATTTCCTCCTTGTGTCTAGCAACTTGTAACAAATTCTCATCCGTCAATCATACAAACAATCATGCCTTCAAAAACGTTATATTTAATTATTTAATTTCACGACAAATTTTTAAGAATTTTAAGAAATAACCCGTTTATTCGCTTCATAAAACGTTGTATTTAATTATTTAATTTCACGACAATTTTTTAAGACTTGTAAGAAATAACCCGTTTATTCGTTATGTATCTCTGTCTAGAAATTTCGATCTCGAAACGAGGAAATCGAGTATTATACATTATAGAATTTTATATAAAGGGGAAAATGATCCAATGCCATTGTTATTAATACACCCTTTTTATAATGTTTTATTCAATATATAAATGGAAAAACGGTTGTACTTGTTTTCTGATTGTTATTAAATGCACACTTGTATTTGTCCTATGTGATTGCTCTTATATGTAAGTTGTGGGGCACGGACAAAAAATGTAGTATGTATTAGCTGGAATTAGATTCATATCGAGTCGTCGGTCAAGATTTGCGAAAAATAAAACGAAACATATATCTATATATAACACATCATGATAAAATATTACAGATCCGTATATATCTCTAATATCGTCTTTATTTTGATTAATTCGATACAAATTATACGCAGACGAATACGTGTTCGTGTACGTGCGTATACGTGTTCGTGTATGCGCAAATTATACGTATCTAGTCACGTAAAACCAAAAGCAGAAACAAACACGGCGTCTTGTCTTTTTTTTTTTTTTTTTAAAATCTCATTATCCATAAAACACGACTTAAAGAACAATGAGATTTCACCAGAAGTCGTATTTACAACAAAAAAAAAACATAATTTTTTTCACCAACACAACGTCGTATGACACAACACGAGGATCGCCATTGTACGGACGAGATCGCGTTACGTACCGCCAAACGTGGATTCGTACGGACAAAAAACTACACGTTGGCCATATATTTTGTACATCAGGATTCAGGAAATAAGCCAAGTGACCATCGCGTTTTCCTTCTCGCGATCCAACGGCTCTCCGAAGTCGCCGAGTTGTCCAAACGCAGTCTCCTCACCATCCAACAACCACGACAAAAACGAATCTGGACTCTCTTTCTCGTCCCGAAGGTTATGACCCCCTTGCAAAACAGAGTCCCAGTCGATGAAGTCGTCGGTCATGTCGCTGACCAGATCCTGGTTCAGCAAGGACTCCACCGATGGACATGACTGCAGCGCCGCATCACCGGTCCAACTGCTCAAGCAGCAACCACCGTCGAGATTCTCATTACCCACGAACGCTTGGTCCGAAACAGACCCAACGAACTCACCGGCTGCATCGTTGACTTTTTCAAAGCTCATAAACGATTCGACCGATGGACATGACTGCATACCCTCTCCGCTCCACGAGCTCGTGCTGCTACATATTCCGCCGGCGAGATCTCCGAAACCGGCGAAATCTTGGTCTGAAACAGACTCTTTCTCATCTCCAGACCCTCTGATTGGTTCGTTGACTTTTGGGTTGTAAAGTTCGGACTCATCCAAGAGGAGAGAAGCATCGAATATGTCATCAAAGGACAAAGCTCCATCTTCGCCATTGATGTCGTTATCACAGTCGATGTCGTCACCGTATCCATATGGTCCAAAATCCGCCATGACGCCAATCAAAGCGTCAGCTCCACAGTCACTGCTACTTGACAACGACATGAATGCATCTTCTTCCCTCTCTTCCCCTTTTTCAGCATTTCCCACTTCGCACACCCTTGATCCTGTACCGCTGGTTTTCGCGTTTTCCTCGGGTTCCACGTCATCAACAGGTGGCTTCGTTTTGGTAGCGAAGACTTTCTTTGACTTCCTTGTGGAGTTTTTAGGGTTTGGGTTCTTGACCTTCATGGAAGATCTGCTGGTCCGTCCTCTGCGTTTGGGCGGAGGAGGAGGAGGGGTGTTCTTGACGGCGTTCATGACAATGGCGGCGACTTCTTGAGAGACCGTTGGTTTTCTGACGAAACTGTGAAGTTTCCGACTCAGATGAGAGTTCCAGTAATTCTTGATTTCGTTGTCTGTTCTCCCTGGTAGATTGCTTGCTATCAGCGACCATCTGCACCAAATTTACAATTGTAATCAAAATCAATTTCATACTGAGGGGTTTGATTAAAATATTTTACCGGGAAATAAAAATGACGTGGCACGATTATGATCTATTGTGCTCGTGACTTCTCTCTCGTACAGACGCAAAACACGCATGCACAGTCAATTATTATGTAAAGTATACGTATTTATATTATATACTGAATGGAAATATTACAAAACATGATATAGTTCAAAACCCTGAAATACGTCTGAAGTTGTTTTAAATTGAGAACGACCCACGAGACAATGTTTTGTTCATTTGCAGGAAAGAAACAAACAAAAAGTCAAATAAATAAATATATATACATAAGCCATGCAATTTATAAATGGACGGCGTGGATATAGTTGTAGGGTTTGTGTAATATGCGACCAACATGTACCTGTTTCCCAAAGACGACTGCAGCTTAACAATGATTTCTTCCTCTTGTGGCGTAATGTTTCCCCGCTTTACATCGGCCCGAAGATAATTTATCCACCGTAATCTACAACTTTTTCCGCATCTTTTCAACCCTTTTAAAAAAAAAATGTAAAAAAGAACATGTTATATATATACAAGGGATTTGGATCAATATAATAATAAAACTCATGACGTTATAATTATATTGCCTGTGATACAGATTAAAATAAATTATATGTACAAAAGTGACGTGCATTAATCCATAACCTCATATGATTATGCGGTCGCTCAAACGAAAAGTTTTATAATAACAACTAATTGAACGCCTTGGAGCATTAAATATGTGGTTCCCCGATGACACTTGGTGGTGGTAATTAAATTAAAAATACAATGCCTCTGTTCGCATACAGTGTCAAATTAAATTTCATCGCTCATATGTCTCATAAACTAACCTCTACTGTTATATCATTATATTCCTCATGCCAAATCGGTCCAATATATTAAATGCAATCTTTCGGCACACTGTTTTCCCACAGTGATTTCATCCATGATCGTTCAACTACTGAGTCTACTCGTATCAATATGATACATTCATATACTTATGTACATATATATATATATAATTTGACTAACTTACATAAACAAAAGAAAGAATCATGACGAAGAAGATCGGACAAAACAAACAATGGCTAGTTTTCGCATTTGAAAAAAGAAAGAGAACATGCAATTTCTCCAAGAAAAAAAAAACAAAAAATTTCTATATGGGCAAAGAAGAAAGCTAACTGTCTCATGATTATGCTATATATATATATATATATATATATAGGTGATAAGAGTAGGATAATATGGTGAGGTACCGGCATTTTTGGGCAAGGAGCGCCAAGAGCCTTCGCCGTGGGAGAGAATGTAGGAGGAGAGGAGACGGTCTTCCTCCGCCGTCCACCGCCCCTTCTTCATCCCCACTTTCTCACAGCACGGCGCTCTTCCCATCTCTCCGGCGATCCGCTCGGTCACGTGACCCAGATAGAGAGAGAGAGAGAGGGGTATGCGGCACGTGAGAGTTGACAAAGTCACTGACTCGGTACTTATAGACAGAGAGCAAGAGCAGTACTGTGTCGGGAGGGGAGAGAGGGAGGGAGTGTGTGTGTGTGTGTGTGTGTGTGCAGGAGAAAACGCCACGTAGGCCTCATTTGAGTGCGCACTCGTGGCTCTTCTGCTGTCGATAGCATTGTCACCGGCTCACGCACCTTCTTCGTGGTTCCATTAGGAGTTAGTATTAATTAATATTGCAGTTGAAAAGCTTTGATTGCGCTTTATTTTAAAAAAAAGCAACACCAAACCAAAAATAACATTAATTTAGGAAATAAATGGCGAAAACCTATACGTTCTCTAAGGGGATGCAATTAATGACACGATTGATTAACACGATCGCGGTTATTATTAATTAATATACTTCTCCCTTGTATCATATGATATGATATACATCAGTCATGAAATCATGATATGATCGACCCATCAAAATGATTCGTAAACATGACCAGGGACCCAATCGCACCTTATTTTTGGGGTGTACGTAATTAAATAATAATAATATTTTTGTAGGGAATCTTATATGGAAGATTCCACATGTGTTGACCGGTTTGCATGCACGGTCCGTATTTCAATGATAGTCTTTAGAGTTGAGAAGCCACGTGCGTTACGTTACGCATATCAGGGCCGCCTCCACAGTTTTTTTTAATAGGTTGTAATGCGCAGATGTCCAAACTAAACCCCCAAATCGTGAGCAAGATATATGATTATAATATACGTTTTTTTTCTAATTTGAGGTTTTTTTTTTATAACGGAGGACCTCTAACTGCTACCATTCGGACGCGTTGACTAGGTAAACTTCCGGTCCGGAATCCGCCTTTGTATATGTGGATCATATAAATCTAGAAATTATTTCCCTCTCCACTAGTCAGAAATCGAACACTCGATCTCAAAGTGAAGTTACCTCATATCCCAAGATTGACCACTCGCCCACGATCTGTTGGGTAATTTGAGGTTCGAATTAGGAACCAATATTTTACCACAACTCTTTACCGATTGAGTTAATCATTAGGGTTTCTCCACAACTCTTTACGACCATTTTAGTTTTTTACTTTTTTTTAATAACCGTACAGTGATTCACCGGTTTATAAATGACAAGAAATCTAAGTGAACTTTTTTTCTTTACCGGCGTTATTTCCCCAATGCATTTTTAGAAAGTTTTATTGTGAATTTCAAAATCAAATCCCACTCACGTCTCCATGATGACTGAAACTCGTCTAAGATGCTAATCAAAAGCTTTTGTGGGGTTATGATTTTCACCTCCCTTGATCATGTACCCTATGTATGCACACGTGTCATGATCTCATGTTAATGTTTGCATCCGTGACAAATATATCGATATGTGTTTCAATCATAACCAACGTTGATGTTTCAATCAATGCCCTCGAGATGCCATTCGATTTTTTTAAAGAAAATATTGAAAATTTTAATTCGATATTATATTAGTGTACATATACGTTACGTATATATAATTGGTTTGACACTGTAGTTTTGTCTTGGGTTTAATGTAGTAGGTTATTTTCGTGCAAACAAAAACAAGTCATTTATGAATGAGCATAGAGTTGCTTCGTGTTATATGGAAATTATTTAATCAAGTGGACCTTGAGGGGGCTCGAATTTTGTTCGTTGAACATGCCAATCTTGCATGAGGGACCTATTCATTGTCTTCTTCTTTTCTTTTTTAAATATATTGTTAGTCTACACTTAGAATTAGAAACAACCATAGTTCTTTGTAATCAGGTCGTTTTTGTTATAATCATCCACATAAATTCCTCGTTGATCATTCCCATGAACTAATCAATACGTTAAACACGTCTTCTTTCATATATATATATATATATATATATGGGTATATATATGTCAATTCATTGCTGCTGAAATATCTTTTTATAATCATGATAATTATTGGATTTATGTATAAAAATCCGATCATATCAGTGTATATATATATAAAATCACACCAATCAACCTGTTTCGGTCACATCAGTATAGCTCGAGCCCCTTTATTATTTGGATTATTCTATAAAGTCTGACGATAAAAAGATACTCTAAATGATCTGACGAGCACGGATCACGTTTCTGCAGGCAAAGACCGTGATCGAGAATATTATAAAATCCAGGATTAATTGTCCATAGTTTTTGTAACATATGAAAGATTCACTTTATTATTTGTTAAAAAATACAGTTTGCAATGAAATTGCAACGAAATTATTTTCGTTGCAAACTCGTCATTACAAAATAATATAGTATTTCAATTCATTACTATATTTGCGACATTTTTATAACGGAAAAGAATTTGTTGCTAATTTAGCAACGCATATTCCTTACTAAAAATAATATAAAAATTAAAAAAAAAAAGTTAAAATTATAAAATTTAAAAAATAGAAATAAATAATTAATAAATATAAATATTAAAGAAAGATAATAAAAATATTTTGTAGGATTTTAGATTTTTTTAAAGAGTTGTAAATTAAAATTTATAAGAATAAAATTTTTAAAAAATAATATTAATTTGTATAAATATAAATATAAAAATAAAATAAATATTTATATAATTTTTAGAATATTTTGAAGATTTGGGAGAAAAAAATATTTTAGAAGATTTTTAGAGTGAGAAATGATTGTTAGATTGTGTTTAAAAGTATTTGTAAACGAAATTCGCTTCAATATATACAAAACATTTATAGTGAAATTTCGTTACAAACTTGCAACGCAATTGTATTACAAATCCAATTAGAAACGAAATTGCGTTGCAAAAGACGTGAAAACTATAATCAATTGTAGCCACAAATTTATTTTAATTTTGCAACGTAATTTCGTTGTTAATTGGATTTGCAACGCAATTTCGTTGCTTTGCATTCAAATTTTTATATTTACTTTTTCGACGGTCAAATCATATTACTTATTAAATAATAATTTTTGTAACAAAATTATTACTTTGCAAAAGCAAAATTGGTTGTTAATCATTTGTTGATTTGCAATGAAATAATCTTGCAACGATTTTGCAACTCTTTGTAAAACAAAAATTGCGTTCTAAATTAGTAACGAAATTATTGCGTTGTAAAGTATTGCTAACTGCAATAAAAAAAATTTGAAGCGATTTTGCAATGCTTTGCAATTAAATTTTTCGTTGTTGAAGCGTTGCAAAAAATTTTCGTTACAAAACGTTGTAATTTTTTTAACTTTACAACGAAATTTATTTTGTTGCTAATTATCTGTTTTTTTTAGTGATTATTCACTATATACAATTACAACGTTATCTTATGTCGAATTTCAAATATCATCACAATTCACGAACGATAAACAAAGGACTTGATTTATTTTTCGAAATGACGTCGAAATTGAAACTATGAAACCGAAATGAGAAATAAAAGGCAGTAGGTGCCCTATGTATGTATGTATGTATGTATGTATGAATGAATGCAACACCAAAATGAGGCTGTGTTCGGATTTATTTTCTTTTGTGCGTGTCAGTCTCTGTTTGGGCTATTGTGTAAATGAATCCCTTCGATATCAATAGCACATACCAACTCCAACTTGACATTGGTATTTATTTCCACCATAATTTCGAAATTAAAAATATTGTCACGTTTTTCGGGTCCATTCAAGACCTTCATATATCCCTTAATTAATTCTATATGATATGGTATGTCATATTATCATTAACTCAATATGGGTGTGAGTATTTTTCCCTGATAGTGATATATATATATATATATATATATATGTGTGTGTGTGTGTGTATATAGCGTTTATAATAGAAATATCTAGAAAATAATTAAAATAACCATTAAGTCTGATTTTAGTAGTACACGCAGAGGGCGGATTTTGGAAAACCCTTTTTGGGTCCACGACGACGAACCAGTGTTCCACGATAATCTCGTGGTCCGCATAAGACGAAAGAGGTTTATATATATATATATTTCGTCCATCAGTATTGGTGATTTTTTTCTTTAATTTTTAATCTCACATATATATATATGTATGTATGTATGAATATCAAAATTAGTTGACGAATGAAGTTTATTTTTACGATTTTTAGGCCCGTCCAAGAGCATGGAACCAAATAACACTATCAATGTTATATAATGCAAAGACAGCGACTATTCGTTTCTGTCGTCTTTTTCTTTTGAAACTTGTATAGAAAATCAAAAGAAACAATCTTCTCATTGTCTTAAATAAAATAGTTGGCATTTACAACCATTATCATTCAACAAATACTTGTTATAGTTGTCGGGACGGGACGATATATATACATATATATATATATATATATATGTATATATGTATATAAATAAAAGAAAATAGATGTAAAAGAAATGGCATAATGATGCATAAATTAGTATATACTTAAAAGCTCCCTTTTGCCAGTGGGATGGGATCATACATTTCCGTGCAGAATGAACCAACAGTGAAGCGATAAGGTTTATTATTTTCGTTATTTTAATTCATATTAATTCTTTCATTTGATTTATATTTATATTTTTTGATGGCGCATTTAGACATATTTGTCATATCCATGAGTATTTTTTTTTTTTTTTGCGGAGGAAAAAAAACGGGTTGTGCAATAGTATATAACTGCGATATACACTGTGTGAAATGGTGCAAAATATGGTATAAACGAGATATGTAATCAAATAAAGATGATGCGATATCACAAGAATACGTAAAATATATTTTGTTTTTTTGTTAATTTAAAAAAACTAAAATATTTTTATTGGTTTTAAAATATATTCATTTGGTACAGTGTATCAATACGTAAAATTGTATACCGCGATTTGAAAAAATAATATATCAACGTTAACTTGAAAATGATAAAAAAGATGTGATTTCGAGATGATAAAGATCCCTTCTACGATTTAAAATATATTTATCCACAGGCTCAGGCCCATTATACTTATTTACCTATTTAAGCTCTCAGCCCAATGACTGTCTGGTGGGCTCTGCATTCGGCCCATTTTATCCGGAACGGCGTCGTCACGTTGACGGAAGGAGCTTTCGGAGTCAAGCGGAGCACGATACACGCCTCCACGTGGCAGTATTTGATTCGTTTAAACACGTAAACAGCGTTTCGAATCCTAAGACGTTCCATTGGAAATACTGCGCGAGAGAAGGAAGCGCCCGCGAACAAGACGGTTCCAATCGTTCGGCGGTCGAAGAACAAAGCGCCTGCGAACAGGAGTCGAAGAGGAGTTTGGCCGATCCGATTTCGCGAGGAAGGGATCTTTATCATCTCGAAATCCGGAGATTTTATTTGTGAATCACGTCGAAGAAGGAAACCTAGGAGTTGAAGATCCCGGAGAGATTCGGTTCTCTCCTGATCTGCAGTTCCATGGCGCTTCGGAGCCCGAAGCTGTTTCTCGTCTTGTTCGCTCTTTCCTATGCCGTCATCGCCCTTGCCGGGTAAGCATCCCATCGATACGTAAATACATTCGGCGCTTACGCGCGTATGTAGAATATTGCTGAACGCGATACATTTGCGTGTTGTGGTTGGAAATGTGTGCTCATCATATGTGAATTCATCTACCCGTATTTTAATTACTCTGAAATCTTCGACGATCCAGGAAGAGCTACTACGATGTACTGCAAGTGCCGAGAGGTGCATCCGATGAACAGATCAAGAGAGCTTACAGGAAGCTAGCCTTGAAGTACCATCCGGATAAGAATCAAGGAAATGAGGAAGCAAATCGTAAATTCGCCGAGATCAACAATGGTATTTTTCCTCATTTGGTTTCATACTTGTTAGAGATTTGTCCCCTTTTGCCCCAAGGGCACGTCTTCTTCGTCTCGAATTGAGGGAATTTTTAGTCAGGGACATTGTTTCGTGGATTGATTGGCGGGGGCACCAGCCTATGAGGTACTATCGGATAGCGAGAAGAGGGAGATATATAATAAGTATGGAGAAGAGGGGCTTAAGCAGTTTGCTGCTAATGGAGGCAGAGGTGGGGGAACGGGTGGCATCAACATCGAGGACATATTTGGCCAGTGAGTTTTACCGAGACTTTCATCCGTCTTTGATACTTTCAGTACATATCATTGGCAATTTTTGTTGTTGTTGGAAAATAAAACGTCGTCTCTTTTAGTCCTTTTCTTCTTTCGTGGAGAAGATGATGGGGGTTTACTTATGATTTGTTCCAGTTAGAGCCTGAGGTACTAGGTTCAGACAATTAGAGGTACTAGGTTTCAGTTAGAGGTGGGTACTTGGTTCAGACATTTAGAAAAATTGTTTCTAGTTCTCTATCAAGATTGTAGCTTAGGGTTGTTTGGGGCTTTACTTTGAGTTTTTGCTCTTGTTAATTACCTCAACATTGATGATTCATGACTTTTTTTTTTAAGGATACAAATATTCAAGTTGTGTTACATTTTTCAATGTGATGATTGTATTTCATAAATTTCGTTGCTCCTGCTGATAAATGACAAGAAATCTAAGTGAACTTTTTTTCTTTCTGCTGAATGTATATGTTGCCGACATCCAGAGATTATTCATTTGGCTTTTAGGTTCTTTGGTGGAGGTTCGATGGAGGAAGAAGAGAAGATTGTTAAAGGTGATGACGTGATTGTTGAACTCGAGGCTTCTCTTGAAGACTTATACATGGGAGGCTCTGTAAAGGTATGTCACTGATCCATCAGATTGTTTTCTGTCTTATGAGGAATGCATGTAGCTTCGTTTGTTAGCGAAAAACTTTTCCAAGCTGTTGCTTTGATTTGAATATATTTGACAAAGAAGATTTGAGAAAGCCTAATATATTTGCCAAAATCCTTGAGAAACTGGATAGGAATATGAGAGAAGTTTACTTGCCTTGCTCTTTTCTTTTAGCTGGATCCAGTTTTCCTTTCTAGATCCTATAAAGATTGCATTTTCTCACTGAGGTGGGGTTGCCTAAATTTCTCAGGTTTGGAGAGAGAAAAATGTCTTAAAACCAGCCCCAGGAAAGAGAAAGTGTAACTGCAGGAATGAGATTTATCACAGACAAATTGGTCCTGGAATGTTCCAACAGATGACAGAGAAGGTGCTGCAGACCGACCCGTGTCTCCAAATGTCCTCTTGGACATGATTTATTTTCCCATTTAATGAGAGTATCGGTTGATTTCTCTCAGGTCTGTGAACAATGCCCGAATGTCAAGCATGAACGGGAGGGATACTTTGTCACTGTTGATATAGAGAAAGGAATGCAAGATGGACAAGTAAGTTTCGGCAAGAACCAGTCTCCAAGCGAATCATCAGTCTTTGATTTGTTGAAGGCTTGAAGCTTTTCCTTCTCTTGGTCATGCCCCAAGATTCATGACATGAGATTGTTCTGATGTTTAAGCCGTCTCCTTTTCTTTCTTTCAGGAAGTGGCGTTCTATGAAGATGGCGAACCCAAAATAGACGGTGAACCTGGTGACCTTAAGGTTAGTCTCTTGCACGATTTTGCTATTCATCTTTCTGTACACCAAAAGCAGAAACTGACTACCAGCTTTGCCTTGTCAGTTCCGGATCCACACAGCACCTCATGACCGGTTCCGAAGGGATGGCAACGATCTACACATGACGGTGAACATATCGCTGGTAGCTCTTCCAACTCCACCGCCATTTCATTCATATTCTTGATCATAAACCATCTTGCTTCATTTTGTATTGTGATTGCTTCAATATTGTCTCAGGTGGAAGCCCTCGTTGGTTTCCAGAAATCCATCAAACACCTCGATGATCGTGACGTTGACATCAGTTCAAAGGTACAAGCTCTCTCATATGTGTGTGTGTGTATCTAATCAGAGCAGAACACAACTCTTCCAGTGGTCTGATGTGGTTTTTGAGTTGGGTTATACATTTTTTTTTACTGTTTCAGGGAATAACAAAACCGAAAGAGGTAAGGAAGATAGAGGGGGAAGGAATGCCTGTTTACTACAGCAACAAGAAAGGAGACCTGTATGTGACCTTTGAGGTTATATTCCCCTCCTCTCTGTCTGACGATCAAAAGAAGAAGATCAAGGAAGTTCTCTCCTAAACACAGAGACCCACAAGTGACTTTGGATTTTCCCCCCCTCTCTTTTCCATTTGGGTTTCTTATTTTTACATTTCTCTCAGCGTTTCGGGTGAAAGTTTGTATTTTTTTTCCCACTGTAACCATGAGTAGGCAAGAGTAATATAGGAAGGAAGAAACAGAGTAGTAGAAGCCTCAGGCTTCGGAACATGGTTTTCCCTGATCGTTCCATGACCATTATTAGTACAATCTCTGTTACGATACCACTGAGAATATATCCCTGGATTCTCCCACTGATACGAGAAAGACATATCTTACATGGGATTTTGAGTTGAAATGTCTTGAGGGAGTCTATACGCGTGTGCGTGTGTATTCGCAGACCTTGTTTCTCTCCACAGGTACTAGAGATGGATCTTCCCAGCCAGATACCAAGAGTGCATGGCGAGGCAACCAAAGGACATGATATTAGCTAATGATGATAGCCCGTGAATCATTCCGAATTTCTTGTTCATGGCAGCTAGCTTCGGGTTACTCTTCGCCACCTCCTGGTTCTTGGACCACCCGATTTCATTCCCAATGTTATTCTCTTTCTCCACTTTGTGCCTTTGCTTCATCGTCTACACATCAACCAGCCAATGAACGCAATGACAGTGGTCAGGTGGCAATCTAAGAGAAACCAGCAGTTGAACAACAAGAGCAGAGGAAACAACTAGATGGGTGTTGTTGTGGAGCAACTTACCTCGATAGTCATGGGTGTAAATACAAACAAGTTGGCCAGATTGAAAGCAAATGCGGAGAGTAGAAACCCTAGCTGATACTTCTCCACTGCCGAAGATGACTTCCATGGATGCAGATATCCAAAAGCGGCTAGCGAAATCGCACAACACGTGCCCACCAAAGTGAAATACGCCGGAAACATCTTGCTTTGCAGGTTCCCGAACTGATGCCTCGGCAAATTCCTAATCAGATGGAATTAGCAAGGAATTCAGACATAACTCAATTCTAATTTCTACACCATCGCAGAAATTTCCCCTAAATTCAAGACACCGGAACCCTACGTTTAAAAAATTTCTAAGCCATAACACTTTCCTGATCATTCCGCACGAAAATGAAGAAATTGAAGATGATCGAAGCACGAGAACACGGAAGAAAGAGAGGAGAGAGAAGCGTAACTTGAACATGATGATGCCGCCGAAGAAAGTAGCCCAGAGAGCAGCACCCCAAGCGGTGGAGAAGCTGAGGAGATGAGCCAGCTTGAGTAACGCCGACGCCGTCACCTTCGCCGGATTCTCGCCGTCCGACTTCGATCCGAAGGTCTCCGGCGAGAATATCACCCCCATAGCCAAGAACGCCACTGCTGCTAAGAACCTTGTCAGCCACGCCATTGCCCGAAGATTCCGATCACTCGCGCACTCTCTGTCTCGAACTCTCTCGATTTCGCTACGGAAGTACCAAAGCGATGACGCGGCACGTTTTTGTAAAGGCGAGATGATGGTTAGATTGCCTAGACCCGAATTTACTATAATACCCATGGGTTTTTGAAGTGCCCCACTGACCCTGCCCGTGCGAGATGGCGGCGAGTCTGATTCGGTTATGAGTCTGATTCGGTTACGAAATATATAGGTTCATTTTTTTCGGTTTTATAAAAATAGATACCAATCGTTTTTTTATATAATATTTAGTTTGCTTCGCTTTGGTTCTGATTTTTATTAAAAAAAAGATAGATCTTCTTCGATTTTTCAGGATTTTTTAAAGTTTAGTTTGGTTCGATTCTAAAATTCGGTTCTCTAAAAATAATATTATTCGGGAATTTCAAACGATTCGAATCAGAAAAATACCGTTTTTTGGATTCAATTTCGAAGAACCGAACCGAAACGTCCAGTACTAGTCGAGGGTAGTGAATAGTGATGGCATATTAGTAGTTTCATTTCGGAAGATCCGCCGCGGAGAAATTAATTCAAACATGTGACGAAGTTCCCACCAAACCAGTGTCTGATTTTTTTTCCTTTTAATTTAACCGTAAAACTATTGTTTTGAAGGCACAATTTGAATATATTTTTCAAGATAATAGCAGAGTGATAGAGAATTTGTCCATTTTCTCTTACGAGTTCATGAAACACATCAATTGTCAAGCATTTTATTCCGAATTTAACGAACAATCTGTTAATGATAGGCACACCATATATATACGTGTGTGTGATATAAATCCCGTTTAGTCCAGTTTGGTTTAGTATAATTTGTGTTATTCGATTAAAATACAGAAGATATTTATGTATACAATTCACACCTACGCTAAACCGAACCGAATTGGACTAACCGGATTCATACCCTCATAATACCGTACAGTGTTACAATGAAAACTCGAAGGCGGTGCAAAAAATGGGCGCAGATTCCAGTTGTCTTGTAGAAATCTTACAAGCCTTCTTTCTACTTTGCTTGTTTGGTTGATTTCTTGCTCAGTTTGCAGGTTAATACGAGACGACCGGCGCTGGATCGAACCGGTTAATTACTTGGTATAAAAGAAAGAACAATGCACTGTTATCCAGCGGATAAATTTTTCAGATTTCGAGTTTTGTGTATTAATTATTCCATGCATGAAATGCAGTTTAAGGTCTTTGGAGCGATTTTAGTTGGAATTTTGGAGTACGAGCTGTTACTTGAAGAACGCAAGACTACTTTTGTGAATGAGCACTTGACATGTGCGATTTTTTTGCTGGAAATAAGACCGTTACGCTTCAAATCACAATTTACACGTACCATATATATATATATATATAATAGTTCATAGCCAAATTAATTTCTTGATCATCATTTTTTGAAGGTAAAAGTGGAAACCGCAAGTATGTTAGATATATCCAAATTTGGGTGGTTTAGTGTTAAGAAATTATACAAAATATATGATATTATCCCGACCTCAAATCTAAGCGTAGGGAAGGGTATTCACCCGTACTTCTCCGTTCTTTTAGGAGATATAGTTATTTATATATATACACCAAAGTTATGGTGAACATTCGGATTATTTTAAAAAAAAAGATAGATATGTTCATAATTTGGGTGTGAATAGTTTAATTAGAGTAGAAACAAAACAAGAGTTATAAAATTTATATGGACAGAGGTCGTTTTGGTTGGCTCGAGAAGGGTTATGTGTTATTAATAAGAAGAAAGGGAAGTGAATATATTGAAATGGCTGCCAATCCAAAGAGATCGAGTTTGCTTCAGCTGCACTCCATCTTCCTCACATTGCCTTTAATGGACCACTTAACCCTACTTGCTTTTCCCTCTTTATCTCTTCATATATATATATATATATGTATGATGAAGTTGATGAACTCGCCATGTTTATATATAAATATATATATATATATATATATATATATATATATATATGCGATGTGTAGTATATGTATATACGTGCGTAAGTATGCGTTTTGTACGCATATATAATCATGCGAGGGGTACGTACGTTCAAATCATTAGTAGAAAGCAAATTTTCAAACATCGATCGTCATTAGTAGTCATGAGAGTAATCGCACTCTTCTGCATGCACTCGAGAAACTCGAGCGAATGATACAGAAGTTCATACGTCATTCGTGACCGTAGTCGAATTTCATCGGTCACATTTATATATTTGAATATCTGCAATATTAGCATTATTTATCACGATTAGGACATCATATATATATATACATATATATATATATATTGTGGTGTTCCTTTTACAGTTAACCATGATTATAGATATGCGAAATGTATACATTATGTTTTGTTAATGTAACATAACATATATAGATCATTTCAATTTATTAAACTCGCCAATGCAGTGACATTTAAATTTTATTATGAACTTTATAAAAAAAATATATGTAGTTGAAATAATTATAACTATTGAAATTGCATTGACAAATAGATCTTGTCGATGTGAAACTATGTAATGATAAATTTTTTGTATGAAAGTGAAAGCATATAATAAATTAAATATCAAAGTAAATCATTAAACTAACAAGGAAAATGAAATAGAACGATTCAAACTTGGGGCACACAACCTATAGATTCAAAAGCATGGGCAAACGCCAATTGGATCCAGCGATATCCAATCTCATATAATTAAAATATACAAATAATTAAAACCAATATATTCCAACACATTCTTTCTTTATTTTAAGAAAAATTATATTTTATGCCTTGGGAGCAAAGTCTATGCTAAATTCTGATCAGAATTTTAAAATAATTAATAATGAAAAAAAGTATACTGTTTTCAAAAGTAAACCAATTTAAAATATACGAAATGGTTAATGCCACATGATAGGCTCACATGGATACACTGACATCATCATATCTGGCCACGACCTATCCTCTTCCCAATGTCCCCAACATCCTATACATCACGTGCTCTATATTTTACTTTCCCCCCTCTTATTTGCTAAATATTCCCACTTTCCCCCCACATGGTTATAATTTTATCAAGTAGCCCCCGTCGTCAACCAATTTCGGATATTGATCCCCCCGCTTTATTCCGCCACAAAACTCGCCAAACAAAATGTGCGTCGGGACCAATTCAAAGATAAAATATAGAATTTACAAAAAATGGATAATTTAAAATATGGTATAAATGTGTATCTATATATTTGCCTCGACACAAATTATGGATGAACAATTATGATCGAATTCGTGTATATTCCATAAACAAATGAGCTGAATAAGTTTCACATTTTTTTTTATCATGTAAGTTAATCCACTGCCCCAATATAATCCATTAGAATTATTTTGAAATAGCATGGGGTATTGGACCGTATTAATAAAACGGCAACTTTGGAAATTCAACCTGCCGTTTCCGGCATGCAAAATCCAAACAAAATTTATGTGTCGTATAATTTATTTTACGTTATATCCATTCAATGAATCAGCAGTTTTTGAAAAGGGAAGAAAACAGAGATAAATAGAGTTCTAACGACAAAATCGTCAACCAAATATTATTTTTGGATATAGAAATTAACCTAGGCAGGACTAATGTTTTTTATATTTTATATAAATTAAACCAAAGACACTGGTAACATACTTATATATATATTTGAGAAAACAAATTTTATATGCAAAAAGAAGAAAAAGGAAAAAAAAAATTGGGTATAAGGTTTTACGTGAAGAAATTAAAGGCAAAGCCAATGGTTACGGATACGGGCATAGGAGACTCGTGTCTCTTGAAAGCCAAGAAAAGTTTCACGTTTCATTTTTCAAGCATAAGAAAAGAAATAATTTAAATATGGGTATAAGGTTTCTTCTCTTTTTTAATATTTCAGTAAAAAAATAATTTAAAAAACGAATATCGACTTGTAAATTTATCTTCAAAGCAAGCTATGAATATTTGTGCTGTGTGTGTGTGTACAATCATAGCTTACCATGCACGACATGCAACGCAGTAAGTTTTTTTATTCTATTTTATAATTTTACCCTGCCATGCAATAAATTTGAGCCAGAGAATAATGATATAACCGTATAGGTGCATGTATATATATAATGTGACAACATATACACGCACACCTATACTGTATAAGTATGCGTATATATATGGATCATGAATAATGTTTTGCATAGAATACCCTGTGGCATGCAGTGATATTCTGAAACCAAAATGGCTCTCTGCTGTACTTATTGATTTCTCCTTTTCGCCATTTCTTCGAAGTTGGTGCTCTGCGCTCTCTCTTCCCATATCCAACTAAAATCGAATTAATTTCGTTATAAATTATCAAATTAAAAAAAAATCTGTTCTCTTACGTTTCTTTAATATATTTTGATCTGTTTCAACGCATTTAATGGCGTCAAAAAGTAGATAAGGATTCATCGGAATGTTATGTTGGGTCAAATATCAAATTTTTATATTCGGCCCCCCCCCCAAAATTTGCCCATATTCCATAGTATTTAAAAATAAACTAATTAATAAGGGGGAAATTGAGTTTTAAGATGGTGGAAATTCCAAATTTGAGCTTTTGAAAAATTTACATCGGATAGAAAAACAACAAACGCGTTTTAGAAGGAGACAGAAGTAACAAAATTTTTTCGGCAGGGGAATAATCATATGCATACGTACATACATACATCCATTCATATCTTTTATGTTTATATAATATTATTTTCCCCTTTTTTTGACTGTATTTTTTCGTGTACGGAGACGAGTCCTTTGCCGTATATTGTTCAGTGAAAACGGCGTCGTTTCGCCTGCAGGTATCTTAGCAGCTGAGCGCTTCGAATTTCACCGGAATCGCGTGGTTGAAACCAGACCGAGACAGTAAATTCCCGACGGCCGCGAGATCTCGGCAAAACACTCCTTGGTACGCGCTCGAATTCGGGGTCTTAGTTTCTCCAATACCGGTTTCCTTTACCGAACCGGTTCTTTCGACCGGTTTCGGTTCTTCAGCGTTCTGCTTCGGAGTTTGGGCCTGAACCGCCGCCTGGGCCGCGGCCAGCGCCGCCGTGACATTCTTCCTCTGCTTCTCGGCGGCTTCTTCCTCCCTTATGTTCGCCATGACTGTGGAATACCCTTTCTGAATCAAACGATAGAGCAGCAGCGATGACATCTTCGCTCGATCCCTGACGGAATCGGCGGCGTCTTGGTCGGAGAACTCGCAGCGTTCGATGAAAGACGTGGCCTTGTCGGGTTTGTGCCTCAGACACAACAGGAGATGCGCTCGATCGAGCTCCGATCGAGTACAACCGCGTCTCACCCCGATCAAGCCGTAGTAATCGACGTTACCCGTTTCTCCGTTTGCGATTTTCTGTTTCAGTTTCTGGATTAGGGTCGTCAAGACGCATAATTTCCCGGGGATTTCTCTGTATTTCACGTTGTGTCGCTTCCACGGCGGACCTGGGAGTTTCCGGTCGCGTAAAATGGTGTTGTAGAGGAGTTTCAAGTGTTCGAGATCGTGAAGCGAGTCGGGAAAACACCGGATTGCTTCAAGAAGCGACGCTCTGGTCTCCAGAGCCTGAAGACACGACGGCTCGAGAGCAAGTGTTTTGTTGCAATCGGCGATGGCCTCAGCAATTCTGCCGGCGGCTCTGTAGGCGGCAGCTCGGTGCATGTAGCACTCGGCGAGGAATCCCTGTGGAGCCGGTCGGCGACCGTCGACGATCTTCGAGAAGTGGCGGATGGACTCCGTATAGAGCCCGGCGTCGAGGGCGGCGAGCGCGGCAGTGCGGCGGCGGAGGAGGAGCTTTATGTGGGCGATGAGGTGGCCGACGCTCTCGGCCTCGGTCAGGTGGTGGGGCGGCGGAGATGCGGCGGAGGAATGTTCGATGAGAAGAGAGAAGCTGTCATCGGACCAGCAGATGCTCCGGCGACGGAATTCGGCGGAGGCGAGGCGTTTACCGGTCTGAAGAAGGACCATGGCGTCCTCCATCAGTCCCAAGTGACAACACGCTTGCCCCAACACGATGTACCTAAACAATAATAAAATATTAATTACTCTTTTCGAAATTAGCGGTGCGTTTTCGCAAAAGGAAAAAAGAAAATAAAAGAAAGGAAAGGAAAATACCTCCATTGCCCTTCCTTGTCGCCGTTTTTACACAGCCCTGCCATGACCTTCTTCTTCAAATCGGAAACAGAGAAGCACTTGAACGACGGGTCGCGGCCGTGCGGCGCGTCCGGTAGAAGCAGAACGCGGTCGCGAGAGAGATGACCGGAGGAGGAGGAGGATGAACGGTCGGAAGAAGCGGCGGAATCATCGTCGTTGATGCTGGGGATGTAGCCTTGAAGCATATCGGCGACGTCTTTGAAGCGGCGGAGAAAGAGAAGAGATCTCGCCTTCAGCTCGAGCGCCGTCTCGAGACGCGGCGAAAACGCCAAGGCCGCGTCCAGGAGGTGAACCGCCGAAGCGACATTGTCATGGTCCTCGCTCGCTATCAGAGCTCTCGCGTCCTTGATGTACTTTTCCACCAACTGCGCCACAATACCCAGAAGGAAAAAATTACATCTTTGAATCGAAAAACGGATGCCCTTTTCACCGGCGATTGTCGAGAAACGGAAGATTTTACCTTTCTGTGAGAGAACCACCAGTGCTTCTTGTCGCCGTTAAGGGCATGAGAAATGGCCATTGCTCTGTGTTGAATTGTTCTCAGAAGATCTGGTTCACCGATGCATCAATACACGATGTTTGTGTCTGTATATATCTTTCAATGTAAATGGGTTTTCTCTTTCCCCTCGAAATTCGTTGCTTCTTCTCCTCCAAGATTTGAGAAAGTAAGAGAAGAAGTGTTTATAAAGGACCAGAGAGAGAGAGAGAGAGAGAGAGAGAGAGAGTGGGAGGTTTATGGAGAGAAACAGAGCACTATATGAACGAGAGAGAGTGGGAGAGAGAGAGAGAGAGAGAGAGAGAGAGAGAGAGAGAGAGAGAGACATGCCAGCTTTGACTAGAGGGAAAGCCTTGATCCTTCAACTTCATAGCTGGCACCACTCCCCTTTTACATATTCCTCTCTCCTCTAACTCCGATTGGGTTTCACACTAGCCATCTCTAAATTTTTTTTTCTTTTGAAATTACCATATAAAATTAGTAAATTACCATGCCCACTCCTTTGAATTTCCAAGGATAGATCTTATGTATAATCCGAAGGGGCATTGCCATTGACGTCGAAAGATGACTGCTTTTGATGCATGCATGGTTAACGCAATAAGCAAGAGTTACTGTTTCTGACTGTATTTCAATGCAAACCTTATGAAAACTATACTTTTAGTTAATAAAATTAATATCCATTTGTATTTTACATTATCTTTTATATGGGGTTTTAACTCTCGTTTCCCAATTCTCTAAAAACCATTAATCACTTTAGGAAAATGAGGTGAACAAATCTTCTATTAAATTCTTGTCTGGCGAATAAAATGGAGCATATAAATACGTGTATATATATATATATATATATATGTGTGTGTGTGTGTGTGGCTTTAATTAACATATCTATATATTTGATTGGAACTTTGGTATAATATAATTTAATATTAGAATACTATAGAGGGTAAAATAAACATTTTGTACGACCTGTGTTACTATCCTCCAATAATCAGAATTTAGATTTCATAAAATATCTAATTAACGTAACATTAAAGAAAAATGGATTTTTAGTATGGGATAGAATGCTATTTTTTACACGTTGTAAATTTAGAGTCATCTGCAATAATAAACACGTCATTTAGAAAGCAGGTTTATATACATCATGCCAATGTTTCATGTGATGTTGTATTTTTTATATATATATTTCCATCTTGAAGGTCAATGTGTATGTGATGGAAATGTATCATATATAATATAGTAATTTCAATTAGGAAAAGAGACCATCACCACATTCTCAACGTAAAAGGGAAATAATTGGCCGTATTAATATTGACATGATTCGCCATAAGCATGTCACATACTAACTTTGTTTTCATGATTTTGTGATAATAAAAGTTCGTATGCGACACTGTGATAAAAGGGAAGGCTGTGTGATAAAAAAAAAGTACACACGTGATTAATCACATGCAACATGAATTCATGTTATCATTGTTATATATGCCATTACAATCGGTTAAAATGTCTATCCCGTCTCAAGTTTGAACATTAAGTTTGGAGAGAGTGAACGTATAAATCAAATCACATGATTGGTTTCTGATTCCGGAATTATTCCGGACCTTGGTAAAAAATTATTTGATTACCAAAAAAAAAAGAATATACATTTGGTTAGTGTTATCTAGTTAATTTGGAAACCAATTGCAATGGCTATTTTAACTGTTGTGCCTTACATTGGATAGTGAATAACAAGAAAACTTGCCACACACACACACGTATATATATATATATATATATATATATATATATATGCGAATAATTGTATGGGAAAGACAAACATTTTATGAAGACAATGTATGTTTAAAAGGGTTACAAAATTGTCTTGTATGATAAGGTTTCTTTGGTTCCAAGGTTCTAAAGGTTGTCTGGGACCCCTCTTATATGTGCCACAGATACATGAGTATATATACTTGGACATGTGTGTGTGTATATATATATATATTGCATAATATATTAATACCATCTTGGTGTACATAATTGGATGTACGAACATATTGTCTCGTTGATATGATCCCTTATAACAGAATCCGTTTAAATCGTCATATATTAATATGGTGTATACATACATATATATATATATATATATATATAGTATCCTAAAAATATTTAGAAAGCAATAGAATAGATTAAATTTCTAGAAGTTAATTATATTTACATACCATAGTTTTGGTAAGAGAGGTATTATAGCTAGTTTGTGATTTTTTAAAAACCTCCAAGATTTATATATGCATACTTTCATATCTTTACATACATACTATCGGCATGAAAGAATCATACATACGCATATATATATGTATGTATGTACGTAAGTATGTTTGCATGCATGCGTATATTATTGTACTTTTTTTTCCTTGCATCATCTTTTTCTTTTCACATAGAAAACATTTTTGACATTTCATCTATAATTTTTTATGAGAGTTCTAAATTTGATATTTGGGAATTTCCTTTAAACTTTTACTTGTCGAACTACTTGGGGACATCGATTTTTCATGCATCTTGCATCAATTTCATGTGTATATATATGTGCGCATGTTTGTATATCAGCGTATTTATACACACATGTACATGTATATATATGCATATGTACGTGATGGGTTTTAATTACGGAAGAGGGTCCTGTACGTATATCATGGCTGTTATGGGAGGAAATACAGAATCAATAGAGGTTTGTTCATTTGCATGAGCTCATGGACCCCTTTCTTTAATTCCTCACATAATGTAGCATGCAGCATTTAAATTAGGACTCGTCATATTTATGGAACATTTCCTCATTATATTGCGTCCGGAGCTTCAAAATGGTAATTTTATTTTAAAATGAAATATTGATATCAATAAGCATCCTAATCGAAGCCCTTGATAAAAAAAAACAAATTTAGACCCACAGATTTCGTCCATTAATGTTGAGAACTGAAATATAACACAATACAAACACATGCGTATTCATAACATATGTCCCCTGCGATGTCATCCATGGGACACAAACGTAGGGTTTATGAATTTAAACCCCGTTGCGTATTATTTTTAATAAATATTTTAAATTGGATTTTCCGACAAGAAAATTACAATGTGAAACTGGGAAATTAAGAACAAGGACAAGGTCATCATGAAGACATTAATGCAGCAGTGGAAAAACACATGTTGTGCCTCAACCTCCTCGCCTTATTGGATTGAAATTTCGGGAAATTAATTGGTCGAATAATAAATAAAATTTATTACAAAAATGCAGAATGGTGCGGAGAAATTCAACTTCTTCTCATAGGATTCTTTTCCTGTAACACGAGACAGTTGGCCCTTATAATTCGGAGCTGCCTTTTTTTCCCTCCCGAATAAACAATGAAAAACAGCAAGATACAATCAAATAAATATTTTTTTAATAAAAAATCAAATAAATATTACATTACTGGTATGTACAACTTCCTCCCACATTTTTTGGACCTATATGTGTGGATATCATACGCATAAAGATGTTAGGGTTATTAAATATACATACATATATATATATATGTATTAAGTATTTACTGTTTAGCATATCGAAATTGCTAGCGGTAATTCAAACTATATCCAATGAATCTGTTAACGACACGGGACTTGATTATCGCGATCGGATAGCGTGCGTATGAATTTGTCCCTTATCATTTATTTCCATCACTTGCGTTGCAAGTTTCGTTCCGTGGCATAAATGAAATCGATTTGAAATATATTTTATTGTATTATCCACAAATTAATACACTATAAATGTTATTAATTTAGGTTATTTTATTTGTTAGGATTAATGAGGGTATATGGTTTAAGTAAGTGGTCACAGATCTGCCACAGGATGGGAATCTCTCTGCCATTACAACAACATCGATAAGGTCATTATCCGCTATTCTGATCTATTATCGTTATTATTTTTAAAAAATTGCGGTCCCCCTCCTTTAAACATGCTGCTATTAGAGGAGGCGCAGTTGTATAATGCCACTTACCTTGCATGAAAAATAAATCCATTTAGATAGGGGTGTAAAACGGGTCGCCCCGGCCCAGCCCAGCCCGGCTCGTTCCGATCTGAAAAAAATTTAGTCCAGTCTAGCCTGACCCGTTTTTTAGCGAGCCAGAGAGCAAAAGGAGCCGGCCCGCGGGCCAAATATATAATTTTTAAAAATTAAATTTTAATACAAAAATATTTAAAACTAATTTTCATACTTAAAAAATATTTAAAATGTAATAAAAAAAATAAAATTTTAAACAAAAACAAACTAAATATATAATAAAAAATATAATTTTTATATAAAAATATTTTAAAAAATATAAAATATTAAAATTTTTTTTAAAAAAAAATTTTGGCCCGCGAGCCAGCCCAGCTCGTGATGGACTAGCTCGTTTGGCCCGGTTTTTTGCGGGCTTAAATATTTTGAGCCCAGCCCAGAAAAATATGAGCCGACTCACGAGCCGGCCCGCGATCCGCGGCTCGTTTTACATCCCTACATTTAGATAATGGCTTACCATGCATTGACATTTTTTTTGATAATCGGGTGTCTTGATTAATTTTAAAACCGAAAACAAACTATATGATTAGAATATGCGTTTTATTTTCCAACTTAAAGTTTGAATTCGAAAAGGAATAGACATTTTGCATTTCTGTTCCATATCCGATGCATGACATTATATATATATATATATATATATAGATATAGTAGTATTAGTTAGCATTATGACACCCAAAAGCTTGTGGGCGAGTGGTCAGTATGTGGTTGCAAAGCACTCAGAGGTTGGCAGTTCGATTCCTGGTTGGGGAGGGGTTTTCACATGAACTACCTCGGTCATTTGGGGGATATAGTTGGGCCAAAAGCCCAGTGAACTTCCGAATTATCATATAAAAAAAAAAGCATTATGCCACATGCTGATATCGCAAGTGACAGTCCGGGCACTACAAAGTATTAATATAAAAGTAAATGAAAATTAGCGTTTAGAGATTAACAATATACTCGTCTGTGTAATCTTTTCCCAAGACATGGGTTTAAGGCGAAAGCCAGATAAATGTCCGAATAGGCACACATGTTTAAGCAACTAGTTATGGCGGCAGTTTGCGTAAATCAGGAAACGGGGCACAGTAAAAACTATGATTACCAACGTCATTAGTTATTATTAATATTATTTAAATATGGGGTAATTTTTTAAAAATAACCGGGGCTCTTTCACACCAATCATCTCGTTTCTCTCAAATTCAGACGATAGAGACCTCTTTTTGATCCAAAAGCTTCGGGCTTTGAAATTTTCGTCTGACGGACCAATCAAAAAGTCAGAGAGACGTCTGTGGTCAGCACGTGTTTTTTTATTACATTTCACGTGGGAATCATGTGCCCACCAAAACTCGTTATCTTCAATTAAAATCTGTTTAATCTCTATAATTGTTTGACATAGACGTTAAGCGAATGAAATCGAACCTATTGGTCCATCAATTATTATTATGTTTTGTTTTATCGGACATCTTAGAGTCAGCCACTATTGTCTATTAAAGCGTCTAATTTATTTAGGAAGAATCATTCATCTGATTTTTTTTTCTATTTTTTTTTTAAATATAGTTGGGTCAAATTTTTTTTAATAAACTTTCGAAATATTAAAGAAAAAACATTCTTTACGTCTAACTTAAAGATTTTTTTGTTGTTTCTATTATTTTAAATCGCTTATATATATATATATTTGATAATTTTGAAGTTAATCGAACTTTTGGTTCAACTACATTTTTTTTGAGGATCGGAAAAATATATGTGAATGCTCGTTTTCAAATGAGAATTCGGATCCGGGTTAGAAAGAAACTTTGCTCCATTCCTTACCGGTTGAGCCATCCACTTTTGTGTCGCTTATATATTAGCGATATACAAATATGTTTATGTATGTGTAAATTTGTTATTTTCTAATTAGATCAGTAAACATTTGTAATGTTCTTGTTTATACACACATTCACGGTTTATATTTGTACATATACGTAAATATATAATACAGGAAAAAGATTGAAAAGAATCGGCCCAAAGAGGGGCATTGCATTGCTTTGCTGAAAAGCCGAGAATAATGCAAGCATCTATGAAGGAATAAAAATAAGAAAAAGGAAATTATTATTCGAAATCAGATTAGCTAATTGTATTTAACTTTGGTTACAGAGAGAATCGATCCAAAGGTGAAAAATATTAAAAAGGGAATGCAATAATTGTGAAAACACGTGGAAAAAAAAGCAGACTTAGTTGTTTCATGGCTCTTTCAGAAGAACTGATCCCTTTCCGGGAATCTTATCTGAGAGCTGCCACTGTTAGCCTTTTACCTATGCCATTGCCATGCCCATCCGTTACTTTTGTTTATTTATGGCATTTTATCTTTTTGGGTTATGGAATTAATTAATTAATTAATGTATGGTCCATTTTTTTTTTAAAGATTTAACCTAAAGATCAAACTCTAATTTCAATCAAGATTTTCATGGATTCTTTGATTATATTTGCCGTAACAATAGATGGAGGATGATCCAACCATTTCACACCCTATTCCGCTCATAATGCAGACTTCGGCAAACAGTCAAGTTATTGTTTTTTTTGGTAAACGATAAATTTTATATATATGTATGTTGCTCCATTACACTGAGTTACATCCAAAATAGAGCAAAAGCGAGGATGAAGTTGGGAGAATTACAATCGATGAAAGTATTAGAACCATAAACTAAGAAAGATTCACCAGGAATATCAATAGCCAAGTCGGGTTTTCTGTCAAGTATCCGCTGTCACGACAGAGTCATTTCTTTCGCGTGTGTTCCGACAAAAGAGTTTCATCATAGCTAGTCGTTGTACCAGAAGGACAAAAGGTGGACAAATATTTGCGGAGATCATTTGACACGACCTTTATACTTACGACCACGCGTGACCACTGAGAAGTCAGGGGGCACTTTGGGGGCAATAGCCGACCTAGAGCGTAACATTCGCTGGGCTTCATGGACTAGTTCGTCTTCAGAATCAAAGGTATAACTCACCTCGGATCCACGAGTGTGCTTCTCCCTCTGCCGTGTATGATTAGAGGTTGAGACAGATTTAAAAATTCATTGAGAATGTTCTTTTGGTGGAGGTATCAGATGAGATGGAGGGGGGGCCTCTGAGTTTAAAGATGCATCATTCGGTTGAGTAGGGGTAAGGAGCGTTAATGCGGGGACAAAGGGAGTTGGCTCAGGAAAAACTGGCTCAGGAGTAGCGATAGGGGAGGATGGTCCAAGGGAAGTTGGCTCAGGAACAGGGGAAGCTGGCTCAGGCGCAGGGGTGGGACTCAAGTGAGTAGTATCAGTATGATGTTGGTCTTCCGGGGGCAGAGTGTTAGCTTGCCGAACAATCGTCGGAGCTTTCGGGGAGCTGGCTTCATTAATGACAGGATTACTACGCAACAAGCAATTAGTATTCTTGTGTCCAAATATGTTGCAAGTAGAACAACGAGGTGGTAACCAAGAGTATGAAGCCTTCACTATGATAACGCTCCCTTTCTCATCCTCAACTTCAATGCAGTCACGAAGCTCTGCACCAAGTTGTATCTCAACCTTGACTCAAGCTTGACCAACGCTCAACGGGTCTAGTCGCATTCGCTCAGTGTGAAGTGGTTCCCCGATACCACAGACTATATAACTATTTCCTTTCAGACTATAGAATTCCGCTGGGAGCTCAGCGTGTCAAGTTATTGTGTTTGCTTCTCGATATTTTTTTTTTGAATTTCACTGAACAATCTCTAGTATTTACTAGAGATATGCTTCTATATTTATATATATATATATATCTAATAATTATCGTTCGTTTAGTGTACATTAATGTGTAAATGGTCACTGCAAAAATATGAGGCGTTGTTGTTGTTATTTAAGCTCCAATTAACCCGTTTTTTTTTTCTCTGTCCTTAACTTGATATCTCAAAGAAAGATATTTCAGGGCTGAAATGTGAGCCGTACGAATGCGTGGAGCGAATTTTCTGTATGGGCCGCATTTTAAACAAATATAAAAGGCAAAATATTACATTAAAAAATTATTTGTTTGCAAGGGTCATTGGATGATTTATATTGTTGGGCCTGACTTATCAAAAGACAGGAAAGGCCCATATGTACCACACATAATCGAAATAGGCCCAATGGGCCTAACTTTAAGCTTTCTATGGATAATTTATTAGTTAGAAGGCCCATTTCGGTGGCTACACAACTCCGCCGCCGTCGACGCCTTTTCGACGGCTGCTCGATTTCCATGGCGCTGTCTCTGTTATACCTGAGAAACTCCGTTAAAGCCCCGGTCTCTCTCCGATTTCAGTGCTTCTTCTTTACTTCGTCTTCCTCGTTCGATTCCAATGGCGGACTCTCCTCTACGTCAGCGTGGCCACTCGTTCTCGGTGGAAGACGCGGAATCGGCGGACGGAAAACGCAGGTCCTGGCAGATTACAGAGGTGGAGGAGAGCAGGTGCGACTTCCTTGTGGTAGCACTCTGTCCTTGCCATTGATTCCTAATCATGTGGTTCTGGAACGTAGAGTCTATTCGGAATTGCATATTATGGAACTAGGTTCTAGAGGCTTCTGTAGCAGTTCTGATGTTAGTGTAGAATGTGACGATGGTTCTGGGTCTGAAGATGACAATGAAGACGGTGAAGTTGAGGTCAATCGTGTCGATTCTTGTGCTGATCGGAAAGAAGTAGAGAGAATCGGCAAAGTGATTGATGAAATGTTTGCATTGGATAGAAACATGGAGGCTGTTCTAGACGGAATGGCTATAAATTTGTCGCACGATCTGGTGGTAGAGGTTTTAGAACGGTTTCGGCACGCTCGAAAGCCGGCATTAAGGTTCTTCTGCTGGGCAGCAAAGAAGAAAGAGGGATATGCCCATGATTCAAGGACATATAATTCTATCATTAGTATATTGGCAAAGGCTAAACAGTTTGAGACAGTGGTTTCGTTGCTAGAAGAGATGGGCGCTCAAGGGCTACTGACGATGGATACGTTCACTATTGTGATTAAAGCATTTGCTGCTGCAAAGGAGAGGAAGAAAGCCGTGGGGATCGTCGAATTGATGAAGAAGTACGAATTTGAAATCGGTGTGGAAACGGTTAATTGTTTGCTCGACAGTCTTGGAAGAGCCAAGCTTGGGAAGGAAGCTCAGGTCCTGTTTGATAAGTTGAAAGAGAGGTTCACGCCCAACCTGAAGACTTACACTGTTCTGCTCAGTGGTTGGTACCGGGTGGAGAACCTGATGGAAGCAGCTAGAACCTGGAACGATATGATTGATCGAGGGTTTAAACCTGACATTGTAGCTCACAACATTATGCTCGAGGGGTTGTTTAGGAGCAGGAAGAGATCTGATGCGATCAAGTTGTTTCACGTCATGAAGTCCAAGGGTCCTTCCCCTAACGTTCGGAGTTACACGATTATGATCCGTGACTTCTGCAAACAGTCAAAGATGGAAACCGCGGTCGAGTATTTCGACGAAATGTCCGGTTCTGGGTTACAGCCCGATACCGATGTCTACACCTGTCTAATAACGGGTTATGGAACCTGCAAAAAGCTGGACACAGTTTACGAGTTACTCGAAGAGATGCAAGAAAAAGGGTGTCTTCCGGACAGTAAAACATACAATGCTCTGATCAAGATACTGACCAGTCAGAAAATGCCGGAACACGCCACCAGGATCTACAACAAGATGATCGAGAACGGGATCGAGCCGACGATTCGCACGTTCAACATGATGATGAAATCCCACTTCCGGAAAAGGAACTACGAGATGGGGAGAGGGGTGTGGGAGGAGATGATCGGGAAAGGGATTTGCCCGGACGAGAACTCGTACAGTGTTCTCGTCACGGGGCTCGTGAGGGAAGGGAAGCCGAGAGAGGCGTGTGAATATCTGGAGGAAATGCTTGACAAAGGAATGAAAGTTCCTCAGATTGATTACAACAAACTTGCTGCTGATTTTTACAGAGATGGCAAAACGGAGATATTCAAGGAACTTTCTCTCAAGGCTAAGTTCTCTGGCAAGTTTGCAGCCTCTGAGATCTTCTCTAGATGGGCTCAGATGACTCGGAGATAGTTTAGATAGAGAGATTCATGGAAAATCTGTTGAACCATTTAGATGTTATATATATATATATATTTGATGCATAAAAATATATAGATTATTAGCTAAAAGAGAATGACGAGGAGCCATCATATTAATACCAAGATATACATACCCCTTTCTTCGGATTCTTGAACAAATAATTAAAATTAGTTAAGTAATCAAGAAATTCTTACAAAAAAGTTTAGTATTAATACTTATAATTATTGTTTGAAGAACGCTAGATTTTTAATTTGTGATTTGTGTTGGAGATGGAATAAAAGCCAATTTTATAGACAATGAATTTGCTCTAACTTTGATAAATATATATAAGTAAAAAGTAAAAGTTAAACTTCGTTTTAACCAATTTACTGAGTCGAGTTTAATAACCAAACCGAACAAAACATGTAATCGAACCGGTTTTTGAATTCAACGCGCCCAATTTCGAACCGCTAAATGCAACACGAAAATGGAAAATTTTAATACACAATACCGGAATTGCCCCTGAACTCCCAAAGTTTCCTTTTTGCTGTCAACCAGAAAATGCCAGACTCGTGGTCAAAGGATACAAATATATATACCATAAAACTATTTTTTATTTTTGGTATAATTTCTGTCTTTACTTCATTGAGAATAAACTGTTCTGATTTGTTTCGGAATCAATGACCATCTCACGTTTTAGACATTATTAAAGATTTGGAATATATCTCATATAAATTCTTCAATTTTCCAAAATGTGATAAATAAATATCTTGATTTGATACAAATAATTTTCATCTTTCGTGATCATAATTTCATTGTGAGGTTTTACATTTTTTTTAATTAAACACACCAAATATACCTTCTGAAAGAAATTTCATAACGCGTCCCTTCAAATCATCACAGGAACACTAAAAATTTTCTTTTGTATGAATTTGATTTTAAAAATAATATTTTTCTATGCACAAGGTAACAAGTCCATAACAAGAGAGAAGGATATAGGCCTCCCATGAATCAGATAAGCACCGTCTCCATTTTCAGAGCTCTTAATCTTACCTGGGATTATGAAGGCCCTTTTCATATATATATATATATATACACGTATATATATGATTTAAATTACACCAAAAAAACCCAGAATGAATTCAAATTAAGAAAACAACGAAAAAAAATAGAGAGAGAAAACTCAGCGGAAAGTTCTGTTTTCAAACTGACGATTTGGTTTCGAGTTACCATAAAACTTGTAATAAACTTGGAGTATATATATATTCGGTTCGAGAATCATATATATATATATATATATATATATATATATATATATATATATAGATATATATCTTTT